GCTCAGCGTCTCCTGTATTAATTTTGTGCTCAACCTTGTTTGTTCTGCCGAGTTTTTTGCCAGCTTCCCAAGACAGAGTTTTGAACTTATCTTTAACAGCAGCCAACTGTTGCTCCTGCTCCTCGTCCAGTTCTTCTTCCGAGTGAATTCGATTAAGTACACTAACTTCTATAGGTTTCCTCGACCTACATTCTATGGCCTTATTTCCTATAAAAAATTGATCGATGCCAAAATCAATCTTCAACTGAAACTGTTTGCAAAAATCACTTCCCAAAATAACAGTATGACAGATTGAAGGTACCAACAAGAATCTAACAACTTTACAAATGTCTTCTATTTGTACTGGCAGGTCTACGTATCCGGTAATTTTTTGACGTCGTCCCTCAGCTGTTCCAATGTCTGGTATTGCAGTCTCATAAACATGCACGCTAGATGATTCAACCAGATGCATTCCTCTCTCTCCAATTACTGAATGACTAGCTCCACTATCGAGAAGAGCAGATACCTTAATACCAAAGATGTCAATTGACACATAAGGCCTGTTATCTCCTACTCTACTGACTAAAAGAGCTTTAATCTGACTAGAATCTAAATTATGACTAGATGTTGAAAAATCACAATGTTGCGACATGTGCTGCTTCTCAAAACTTTTACCAGTAACGGAACTATCACGTACTTTTGAAATTTTCTGACTAGGAGTTCGATTATTTACATGCACAGCCTTCTTTTGCTGAACTCCGGACAGGGGTGGCCATCTTCTACCATTTCCCTGTCCCTTAGCTAGTTTTTTGAGCAGTTAGGACAGTTCGGGCGGATAACACCCTGTTTTCCACATCCTATGCAAACAGGACCTTTTCGAGTTATTTTCTGGGGACAATCTCTTATGAAATGACCAAGTTTCTTACACCCGAAGCATGTTAATTCACCGATCTGAGCTGTGTGGTACGATCGACGATACCTTCTGTCTTCGTTGCGTGACGTCGACGGCTGCTCTTGTCCAACGTTTTCAGTTCCTGTATAAGCGAGATCAGGTTCTAAAAGAGCGATACTTCTCCTAGGTGGTGGTTGGAATTTTTCTTGGCACTTGAAGGCTCCTTCTAGTTTTCTGCACACTTCCGTCAATTTACTAACCGACCGCGCATCAGTCAGTGCTGTCTGTGTTTGAAAATTAGGCCGCAAATTTCTCTTAATTGTACGTAACTGGACTTCTTCTGTTGGTCGTCCTGAAAGTCTGCTAAACAAATTCAACATAGCAGCTACATAGAACGTAACGCGTTCCTGTTGTCCTTGTGTACGATTTCGAATTTCGCGCCAAAGTTCTTCATCGTAGTCTGGTGGTAAGAAATCGCGCCTAAGTGCTTTGACCAATGCATCCCAAGTGTGTACCGATGATTTAACTGAGCGGAACCAGACCAATGCTTGCCCCTGAAACAAATCAAACGCTGATCGGAACAATTCTTCTTTGGTTGTACGACTTGCTATACGAATTTCTTCAATTCTCTGGATGAATGAATTAACAGCTTTCCCTTCAAAGGTTATACCCCACTTGTGGACGGGCGTTAACTTCGCTACAGCACCAGCTTGATTAACTTGTCCTACTTCAGAGACGTCTTCGCTTTCATTCTGGGCTTGTTCCAGTATCTCCAACCGCGTTTCATCTAAGGCACCCACTATAAGTGATTGATCTTCCTTATATTCTCTGATTTTGCCATCCGGGTCGGTCGTTGTCACGAATCTGCTCAACCTCCCCAACACATGACTTATCCTTGTTACTACCCTCTTGTTCATATCGGCTCTAGTACCATCAAAGTCGGCTAAAAGGTGCTGAATTTCATTTATAGAAGCATCCACTTCAGTCTTCTCATCCTCAAATTTAAATTCTGGAGTTACATATGTCATCACCGGCCTCATTAAATCTTCTCGCAACCGCCTACGCAAAATCTTACGTTTAACATCAATATCAACTCTCTCTGATTTAACTCCTCTGATACGCAACTCGTAATTCAACTCAGAGAGTTTCAAATAATTGGGTTCAATCTCGAAAAACGCCATCTCGGACCACACTAATAAATACCTGCCATTCTGTACCTTTATAATCCCAATACTATACTCTCCAGTTCTCCACTTCAAGAAATAATCATACCAGAAGTGACTCAAATTTCTATACTGTTAAATAAAATAGGTACTGTTAAAGTGAATTCTCTTCAACTCAATTGCCTAGACAAAAATCAAAGCATTAATGAAACCAAAGGCCCCACGTTGGGCACCATTTTTGTGTGACTTTTCCGGCCTTATATGTTATTTGTTTGTTTGCAGGGCGTGGGTTTGTGTAGGCAATGAGTGAAATAATTTCCCAAAAACTATATTAACATAATAATATGCATATGCAACACACAATACATAAAGGGCGCCAGTCGTTTTTTCCTATTTGAAAAACGACAAAAACAAATATTGAATAGGTGTTTTGAGCTTTTCTTTTCTTTTCATACACTCTGAAATTATTTGTGGCTCAGCACACTAGTCTTTACAACACTATAAACTTAAACAAGTTAAAATTAATATCTAGACAAAATGAGCTCACAATTACAATTACTCGACCACCAGAAGCTATACTGATAAGATTTATTATACTGATCTTTGACTGATATACTTTTATTGCTATAACCTTGAAATTCAAAGAAATATCTATTATGGAGCTTGGAACTTTCTTTTTTTTTCCCTTCGCGGAAAGTGAGCATTCGTGTACTTGAGCGTAATGACAAGTACCACCTGGAGCTGCCGCAAGACAACAAGAACTCTCCCCAAATGGGTGAGACTGGCCGCTAGACCCCCAAAGAACCACTCATAATATCACTAGACATAGGGTTAGCCCCTTTACAATACGTTAATAACAAGATCTAAATTATTAACTCTCTCGGATCTGACCTGTTTCTAATCTAAAAATACCTATGTTTACAAGGAATTTTCCTTATGATATTGTGCGGGCAACAAGCAACCTAGAAGGTGTTCACCATGGGGTTGTGGCCTCCAGTTTTAAGATATTGAGTTACTGGAACCCTGCTACTTACGCTGGTGGTCGCTACTTCCACAGATAAGGTGCTACCCCCGTGGTGATGGTTCCTTGGGTGTCATCAATCGGTTCCATTCAGATAAGTCTCCAGTACTACTAATGTTTCAATGACAGGTCTCTGGTTGTAGGTAGTACCGAATCGTTACTCCCAGCACAACTTTCCACGGAGTTGAAGATGATACCAATTACAAGCTCAATCCAAGTAGCGAATGACTCCAGTGATCAAAATTGACGAATATTTCATGTTCCGAACTCGATAGTTAAAACCTAGGAAGTGGTGTTTTATTGACATGTTTATTTTAAGAGATCTCATGTGACTTTTATTTAAATATGAAATTTTGACTCACCTAGGTCTCATAGGTTTATTAAAATCTTCTTTAATCGTTTAAAATGGCTTGAAATCTTGATTTTTATTTTACGTTTCTGACAACCACCATTTTGTCCAAAATCTTATCAGCAAACCCCTTTTTTGTTCGCCTGACGTTGTATCGCTATAAAAACTCCCATGCCGAGGCGCACAATTTGAAACGCTCAAATCACCTACTCGTCCTTACTAAAGGAAGTTTAAATTATAGTAACGGGACCGTTACACGATTTAAATTCAATAATCTTTCTTTCAGGAATAATAAACAAAATTTGTTGTAGACATTTCAATGTCAATGCTTTGGAAAATTTGTCAAAAAAAAAACACATCTATATTATTTTTCAAAATGGGCGCGAAGGTCAAGGACACGCAAAACCCAAAAATTTACTCTTAACTGTGTAGTTTAGTATTTTTTTACACCTCCTTATTTTACTTTATCGACAATACAATAGTGACTGATCAGTTGAGACGTCAAAAACCGCATTAAATTTGAATCGTTTCTATGAGCGCGTTCTATCGCAATATTTATGATAGATTATGTTCTTACGAAGTGGAGAAGTTAGAAGAACAACTTAAAAGCACCCAGCAGAGATCCTAAAAGAACAGATTTATAAATATGTCTAGGGTAAATGCTATGGCAGTGACGAGAGCAACAGGAATTATCCACCTATTTTTCAATATTCCTACCACTGTCAGTATTTTCCAATTGAACTGGCGTAGGGACAGTGTAAACTATATTACAATAAACATATTCGGGAACACGGTAGCGCTATTGGTGTTGTACAGTCCCTATGGTGGGAGGCTCTTGCTACAGTAGGTGCAGACAAATGGCAAAATATTATTAGACCTTGTGAACGGCTGATCATGGATGATTGGAAGCGTTTAATGGGGTAATGCACCATATGAAGACATACCCCCAATCATAATTTCTCTCGATTCTGATTCTGAATCAGAATGTTTTTCTAATAACTTGTCAGCTTGTCACTTTTTCATTTGGCATTTAATGTCAACAACAATCAGCATCACGGTGGTATAAGTAAGGTGTTTCAACTCCATTCATAAATTTTCATAAAACGGGCGCTTAAAAACGGGTATCGTAGTAGGTTGTGGGAGCTTAAGATGACCGTCACCATGCGGTAGTTAATTGTACTATTTGCACTAACAACTGATGTTTGACATGACATTTGACGTATATTCCCCTCATATTTCAAAAAGACGTCACAAAACTTAACCTATAAAGCTGACATTTTTGACAGCTTGAGAGATTTAACTAAGATGCAACAAAATAGAGCTTACACAATAAGGAAGGAGTTCAAAAGAAGATTAAGTGTTGGTGATAAAGACATAAAACTGAAATACATGAATGGTATACCCCAAATTGTTTCTACAAAAAATCAGTAGATTTCCAACAGACTAATTTTTCTAATGTAGCATTTTTTGAAATTTTGTACCAAAATGTTAGAGGTTTAAGTTCAAAAACACGGAATTGTTTTCTTAACGTTTGTTCCTGTGGAATGGATATTATTATACTAACTGAAACTTGGTTACATTCTGGTATTTCGTCAAATGAATTATTTCCTAACCAATTTAATGTTTTCCGATGTGATCGTCAGTATAGCAAAGGTGGTGGTACTCTGATTGCTGTTAATACTACAAGGATCTCAGTTCAACCACTAAATCTTGTTTCCCCGGTACAGCAAATTGATTTGGTTGGAGTGAGGGTATTCTTGAAAAAATATGGCATGTTGATAATTACAATGTATATTCCTCCAGGTCTACCTATATCTTGTTATGAACAAATGTTTGAATATTTGGAAAATACTGTTGATTTCTCGGAACCGATTCTTATCATTGGAGATTTCAATATTCCGGAACTTATTGAATGTGAAATAGGTACAAGGACAACTCAAATGTTTAATATTTATAGCCACTTTTTATCACTAAACGATTTGAAACAGAGAAATAAAGTTTGCAATAGTTTTTCTAAACTCTTGGACTTAGTGTTGTCAACGGATTCTTTGGCGTTAGAAGTTTGGAGACATGAATACCCATTAGTTGATGAAGACCCTGTTTAAGAATTGATGTAACTACACAGGGGGAGCCAGATGTGATGTTTCAAAGACAAACAGATTTTACAAAATTCAACTTTTATAAAGCAGATTTGGAAGGTCTATATCTAGCATTATCAATTGCTGACTGGTCAAAATTACTAAATTGTGTTGATGTTGATGATGCTTGCAATAATCTATATAATACAATATATGGTCTCTTTGAACAATATGTACCATTAGCAAAATACAAAACGTCAAAATATCCGTTGTGGTTCACTAAACATATTATCCAGCTAATTAAACAGAAGAGTAGGCACTGGAATAAGTATCGTAAAACAAAGGCACAGTATCATTATGACAGGGTAAAATCGTTAAGTACAGAAATAAGACGTGAAGTAAAAAAGGAATATGCAATGTTCATCAGGAATACGGAAAACTCTATCAAAAATGACCCGAAGAGATTTTGGTCATTTTTTAACGCTAAGAGAAAATCGACGAGCATTCCAGGTAGAATGACACATGATGGGAATGAATTAACCACATCAGCGGATATTGTGCAAGCGTTTGCTGATCAATTTGCCAGTGTCTTTTCAAATAATGGTGCTAATCATCAATGTGATTCCAACTGTGAAATGAATGGTACATTCTGTGAGTTCTGCGATAAAAGTTGTTGTGCTAGTAAAGATTTTTGTAACTCCTGTGATTCTCATCCTATATTGTCAAAATTTGTCATCGATCGTTGTGATATACTGAATTCTGTTAAAAAACTCAAGAGCAACTTTGTAACTGGACCTGACAACATACCTGCTTTCCTAGTTGTTGATTGCATTAATAGTTTAATAGAGCCTTTATTGTACATATTTAACTTAATCTTAACAAAATCTGAATACCCTGTTCTGTGGAAAGTATCTAAAATAAGTCCTGTTTATAAGTCCGGAGAAAAGTGTGATATAAAAAACTATAGACCTATAGCATTATTACCAAATTTTGCAAAAATATTTGAGTCAATTACTTCGGGTATTATATATTCTCATGTTTGTAGAGATATTATTCCAGAACAGCATGGTTTTGTGAAAGGTCGGTCAACAATGACGAACCTTTGTGAATTTACTCAGTATGTGTCCAATGCTTTAGACAGGCGTTTGCAAGTTGATACTATTTATACTGATCTGTCTAAAGCATTTGATACAGTACATCATTGTATTCTTTTGTATAAATTAAAGTCGTTTGGTATTAGTGACCAATTATTATTGTTGTTAAAGTCAGTTATAGTAGGTAGACAACAATATGTTGAATTTGGTGGTCACAAGTCCTCAATATTTAATGTTGGTAGTGGAGTTGCGCAGGGTAGTAACTTAGGCCCATTGTTATTTATACTATTTTTTAATGATGCAGTAAGTAGTCTTAAATGTCGTACATTTATTTATGCTGATGACCTGAAAATAGCAAATGTGATAGAGAATTATTATGACATGACTGTTTAATATTGCAGCAAGATGTTGAATATTTTCTATTATGGTGTACAAGAAACAAACTAATTTTGAATAATTCTAAATGCAAAGCTATGTGTTTTACGAGAAAGAAAAGTTCTATAAGATTCTATTATAACATAAGTGGCAAAGTTCTTGAACTATGTTGTCAATTCCGTGATCTTGGTGTTATAATGGATCAAAAATTAACTTTCATTTCGCACATTGAATATATCACCAATGCTGCTTTAAAAACTTTGGGATTCATTATAAGGGCAACACATGATTTCACTGACATTTACTGCATTAAGTTACTATTTTATACGCTAGTAAGATCAAAAATGGAGTACTGTAGTGTAATTTGGAAACCTTATCAGCAAATCTACATAAATCTCTTAGAGAATGTTTTACGCAAATTTTGCAAATACTCCTATTATAAGATGTTTGGTTCGTACCCGGTTAGACACTGTGAGCAGCGTGCTCTTCTCAGTATTGTTAATGAATACTCTATGTTGTCAAGAAGTAACTTAAGTCGCTTAATATTAAGTAAAAGGAGAAATATCCTGTGCTAATTTATTAACTGAGGTACAATTTTATGTTCCAAGACTAAGTTGTAGAGTACCAATAACTTTTTATTATAATGTACCTAACACTTTCCATCACTATAACTGTCCGCTCTTAACATGTTTTAGGCTATACAATTGTCTTGGTGTTAAATTAGATATATTTCATGTCAAGCTTACTAACAAAAGTGTAAAACAAACAATTCTTTCATATTATTCCTAATTAGGGTACAAATTTTCTTTAGTTTATGTTTTCTTTCATTTGTATTTGTATTTATTTTATTTTATTTTATTTTGTTATGTATTACTGCCTTGTGTTTCCACTGTAGACGTATATGTCTGTTGGAAAATATATATTATTATTATTATTATTATTAACTTGCATTCAAGGACATTTTTACGCAAATTTCATTCATATTGGTCTACCTTTGTGAATAGTTTCATCATAGTGTCCAGTAGACGGCGCTAGGAACTTTAAGTTCCCGTGGCCTCCTGGGATCTCTTCCAAAAAAGACCATTTTAAACTGGGAGTTCGCAGACCTGTTATATACGGCCGTGATCAGCATTAAGCCCTCAATGCAAACGGCTCTAAAGTCCTTGCTATGCACAGCAGCACTGTTGAAACATGAGAGTGAAAGCAATGTAAATTCTGTGTTTTCTCTTATATAACATACTATTTAGTTACATTTTCTTTTGTTTACAATATTATAGACGAGTACAACACAGACGTACAACAAAACGTGTTGTTTACTGTAACGTCCGCGACCCTACAGTTTTGCAAGGGTTGTGATCTCCGCTAACTACACTGTCGACCTTGAAATTTGCTTAAATTTTAAAAATAATATACAACACCTTTTCGAAAATAAGTTTGTATAGATTTAATCGGTGATTATAATTTTGATCACATTTATCCAACGGATGTTGTTGGATAACAATTCTGTAAACTTCTGGACATTAATTGTCATTAACAATTATAATTAATAACACAGGCCTGCGATGGTTTTCCCCCAACAAAATCAAGTAGTAATTTTGGTAGGTCTTAGACACTCATGTATAAAAAAAAATTGCAAAAATTTCTATCACGTACAGTTTCTGCAAAAAATATTTTTTTCAGTTTTGTTCTTAGTACTATAAAAATTAACTTCTAGATTTTGTGGTAATAATATGTTGGGTAATGGTGTTGATATTTCATTTCGTGTTCAGCTTAGTAAGAGTTATTTGTGTCGACTATGCGCTTATTACCCTGAATTTAAACAAAAATTACTAATGTCTTCTCGGAAATGGGCTAATTCTTCAGATAAGTTTGCTGACACCAATGATTTGGATGGAGCCACAAAATCATACAGACGATTGTTACTTTTGCTGTTCAAATATAAAATGATATAATGCGAAAAATGTAACAGCAATAACATATCCTATCGTGAATACAAGAGAAAACGCTTAAATCAGAGCTTTGAAGAAAGAAAAAAAGAAGCTTCTTGATTTATTTGTTTTTTTAAGTCTTGTTTATAAACTAATTTAGTTCATTTAATAAATAAACATTCAATTTTATATTCTTTATATTTTATTTTTTCATAAAAATTGTTTGAAAACCTATGAATATTTAGGCCTACATAAAAATAAATCTCGATGTGCTACAAAAAAACTAGAGTTATATTTTAATTCGGCATACATAAATACCTAAAAAAAAAACAATATTACTTAAAAGGGAATTTAAAAGTTATATTTCGCAGGCCTGTGTAATTAGATTGTTACATAAAATTGGTTCGGTCAATTTAAGAGAGGGGAGTAGAAGAGCAGAGCTTAAGCCAACTAATGAGCCAATCACGGCACAGAATTCGTAAAAATTTGCCCCACTAGTACTGCGACGTCTCCAGTTTTTGGCGTCACTATTTAAGTAAAAGTAGGGTGAAAGAAGGGAACTTTTTAACTTTGCCTTGTGGGGGTTAAAAGCCGTTTGTATAGTTCGTGCAGAAGAAAAATTGTGTGTTAACTTCAGTTAGTTAAAATTTGGTGCTAGTGAAGTTACACAGAGAGTTCTTTTGTTGCAGTACAACAATATTCACAGGTAACTCAAAAATTGTCAATCCTGAACACTTAGAAGTGTTTTGTCATTTTTTTCAAAAGCCAAAAATCAACTTACTCCAATAGGTCACAAATAATGTTGATAAAATGTTTTGTTGAATTAAGCCTTGAGTGGAAAAGAATTGCCATTATCCAAATTTAAAGGTGTTATTTCTTTTGTTGTTCACTTTCAAAATTTAGGAACATAAACAAAATTTATCTGAACTTTATTTGCTGGTTAAATTACTTGCTGAGGCTTGAGAACATGAACGAAAAATCTAAATTGAGCAGTTAAGAAATTGGAAAAAGGAGGGGTTTCACCACAAATAGGGTACAAAAAAAAGGGGGAACGAATTTAATTCCTTTCAAAATTTGAACGCATAATGAGTAAATTTCATACGCGTACTGCTGCATTGCATAAATTAATTTTGACTGTTTTTTTTTAACGTGAACCGTCTTTGCTAATTGTTGAATGCCTGAAATTACGAGCTCGTTTGCCACCGCGGGATACACAAAACAAAACAAAACACACACACACACACAAAAAAACATAAACAAAAAAAAGGAAGTTGTTTCTCAAAAAATCAACAGAGCGCTAGAAACGTCCTATAACTATAGAAGCCCCGTTTCCCGCTCAAATCATCATTTTTTTTTTGTAAGCGAGTCATTCGTTAATAAACTGGCCAATTCGTCGATGGTGCCGTTGTTACAACCCCATCGCAATTCGCCGAGGGCGTCCACATAAATCGCCGGTTCTTTTGGTACGCCTCGTTTCGAGAAATGTTTTTTTTTAATGATCACCTGGCGAGATAGCATGTGAGCGTAAGGCATTGCGTAAACGTAACTTTTGCTCAGCGTAATTAATACTCGATTTTGCTCGCGTTGCTAGGGCGAAACTAACCTTGTGGCATGAACCCTTTCATAAGCGCTAAGCGAAAGCGAAATATTGTCGACAGCGTAGTTTCGGATGATAGGGCGTAGTACTTGTGGCAGCGTCACGATTTGATGTAATTAGGGAATTTTTTTATTTTGTTGGTCGTTTGCATTTCTCTTGGATCGGAGCGGACTAAATCTACCTGTTTGTTAGGGCTGAAAATTTGTTTTCTTACCGCTCATCTACTTGAAAAAAAAAACAGATAAATTAACTTAAAGAAATTATAAGAATAAAAAAAAAAACTCTTAACTAGATGAAGAAACTCGTAAATAGTAAATAATAATAGTTAGTAATACTTTGTTTTAAAAATATTCAAACACTAACTCTCCGAAAATTGTTGAAGAAAAATTCTCTTAGTAACACAAATGACCTCTCTTTGTTGACCAAATCATATTTAGAGGTACAATATTGATAGATTGCCTCTGTAATTTTATTATCTTTAATTTCCGAAACTGTGACTGGAAATATATTGATTTCTGTGTGATTTTATTAATAAATTTGTAAATTGAAGATAAATTTTGCGTTGTCTTTAAAACATGTTCTTCCATGCGTTATGACACTACTTTATAAAACAAATCTGGAAATTTAGTGGTAAATTTTGTGAAAAGAAAAAAAAACTTAAACATCAGTGCAATTAATAATTAATAAGACACAACAGGGTAAGTGAAATTTTATTTTATTTTATTTTATTTGCGACAAATGACGATCACAGGTCTAATCACTATAACGTTACAATATTCGATTTTTTCTGGTGTCTCCGTAAAAGAGGGGACTTGGATAATTTTGTTTTTCTTCATTTTTTGAAGAATAATTTGTTATCTCACCACAATACGGACAAAATAGCATTTGTGAACAGTTTGGTGAGAATTGTAGATCCCTACTACACTTATACAATGTATATATATTTGTTTGAATAACACGCTTTAGAAACAGCTTATTTTCAAGTTAATGCCAATTCATTACTTATTTCTAACAAACACGTTATTCATTTTAATAAGAACTAATTTAGTTTTTTATATCGATAGTGGTTTGTTGGAGTTAACACTTTAATCTCTGCTTTAACCATAATTCCTTGTAATTTGTAATAAAGAAGCTCTAATTTGGACAAAACTTTGTTGTTGCGAGTGTTGCGACGGTACCTAATATTTTTATAAGATTGTAAAATTTGCATTATATTGTCCTGTAGTAGTCTTGTAGTGCAAACTGTCGTCGTCAAAACGGACTCTTCTTAATCAAGGAAACTGTAATTCTTCCATTAGTTCTACTCCGTGCCGATATACACGGTGAATCACTAAACGGGGGGCCTGTCTAATTTGCAGACCACAGTTTATCTTGCAAACTGGGGGTTAAAAATGCTGCAATCAAGTCGAAATTGGACATTTGCTTATTTCTTAATATGAAGATTGTTGGTACAAAATTTCAACCCGTTCGTAGAAACCCTTAAAAACCACCCCCAAAACAACCTTGCAGACTGGGGCTTAAAAATACTCCAATCAAGTCAAAACTCGAGATTTGCTTATTTCTCAATACGAAGATTATTGATACAAAATTTCAACCCGTTCGGAAAAATCGTTAAAAACTACCCCCACAACAAGCTTGCAGACTGGGGCTTAAAAATACTCTAATCAAGTCAAAATTTGACAATCGCTAGTTTTTCAATGCGAGAATTATCGGTACAAAAATTTCAGCCTATTCGAAGAAATCCTCAAAAATCACCCCCAAAACAACCTTGCAGACTGCGGATTAAAAATGCTTCAATCAAAGCAAAACTCGACAGTCGCTTATTTCTCAATGCAAAGATTGTTGATACAAAATTTCAAGCCGTTCGGAGAAACCCTTAAAAATCACCCCCAAAACAACCTTGCAGACTGGGGGTTAAAAATGCTCCAATCAAGTCAGAACTCGATATTTCTTAATTTTTCAAAACGAAGATTGTTGATACAAAATTTCAGCCTATTCGAAAAAACGCTCAAAAATCACCCCCAAAACAACCTTGCAGACTGGGCATTAAAAATGCTCCAATCAAGTCAAAATTTGATATTGGCTTATTTCTCAATATGAGGATTATAGATACAAAATTGCAGCCTATTCTAAAAAACCGTCAAAAAACACCCCCAAAACAACCTTGCAGACTGGGGGTTAAAAATGCTCCAATCAAGTCAAAACTCGATATTTCTTAATTTCTCAATACGAAGATTGTTGATACAAAATTTCAATCCGTTCGGAAAAATCGTTAAAAATCACCCCCAAAACAACCTTGCAGACTAGGGGTTAAAAATGCTCCAATCAAGTCAAAACTCGACATTTGCTTATTTCTCAATACGAAGATTGTTGACACAAAATTTTAACCCGTTCGCAAAGACCCTTTAAAACTACCCCCAGAGAGACTTGCAGACTGGGGGTAAAAAATACTTCAATCAAGTCAAAACTCGAGACTTGCTTATTTCTCAATACGAAGATTGTTGATGCAAAATTTCAACCCGTTTTGAGAAACCGTTAAAAGCTACCCCCAAAACAACCTTGAAGACTGGGCCTTAAAAATATTATTATCAAATCGAAACTTGGTGGTTAGTTTTTATCTATACGAGAAGTGATAATGCAAAAAAAAACAGCCTTTTTTAAGCTGCTCTTAACAAGTACCCCAAAGCTATCTTTCATACGGGAGCTTAAAAATACTCCAACTGAGTCGAAAGTTACCACCTGCTGAGTTCTTTACACAAAAAATTAGCATATCAAATTTTAGTCACCTTGAAGCAAC